AATGCTGGGTTAAATATAACCCAGCATTTTTAAGAGTGTATCGTCTTTCGGTGGAAAAAAATGATTTAAATCAAAATGTAACTTTAAATATATTTAAATATATTAAATATAATTTAGAATTTAAATATAATTTGAGAAAAACAAATAAATTTGTCTTTAAGAAACTGAGTATTTGAAAGTATTTTTTAGTTAATCCAAAGTATCTTTTTTCAGTGGAGTTTGCAAGGTGTACTATATCTCTTGGAAGAATAATGAGTTTTGCAGTACCTTTCGAAAAAGTATTCACTCTCCGTTCTGAAGTAGTAGATATGAGATTTGAAATGCAGTTTGAAGACGTGATCTTTATGGATGTTTTCCGACTCGCCGGCATGTGTTACTGAGTAACCCAACAACGGCAGACTGGTCAGCGGATACTCATCCTTACAGAGAGAACAGTCAACAGAGAAATGAGCGCGAGTCCAGACATTTCACACACATCCCACACATTCACAGAGGATATGGCAGTGTGTGACTGTTTGCGTTTTACCTCGTGTGCTTTGTAGAAGAACAAGGTGAAGTTGGTGAAAACCACCCAGAGTTTCTGCCAGCCGTTACTGTTTTTAAACTTTCGGAGCAGATTTCCTGAGAGCTGGTTCTGTCAGACACAGTCAAGATGACGACCAAACTGTGTTACAGCATTTTCATACTCAAACACAGAGATGAGCAGATGGAGGACTGGTACCTCTATGGCGATGCTGAAGTCCAGCATGGAAACACTGGTGTTGCGATGCCAGCACACGTGTGCTGTCGTGTTGCCGCGGTTGAGAGTGTTTCCTGAATTGTTGCCATTTCGAGCCAAAGATGTTCGAGATCCACAAAGATCATCCTCTGACTCCACTTCAGACGCCCCTGAGGATTCTGGGAAAAACATTTACTGTATCTTGAGACACGTAATTGTGCTAAAACATGCTACTATGTGCTCCCTAAACTTTTGTTAGCAATTGTTACCGCATTACTGAAACATTTGCCCACATATTCGGACTCCTATAGTCTTCTGTAAGTTCCTGATTAAACAGCTGATATACTGTGGAAGAACATGTGAAAAAGAAATGCACTTAATTGTATTGAATGTGCACTTGTAGTGTACTTCAGACCTTTAAAAAATACATTTGTTAAAAAGAAACTGTAATTGCAGATAATATAATATTAATGAAATAAAGTAAACTTTTAAAAAAGTGCCCTTTGTAAAAATGTCAAATTAAAAGTTTTACTTCAAAGGACATTTTAAATCATTATGTTTTAATAATCTTTTGAATCTTGTGTATTCTTTTGTACTTTGAAGAAGTACACTTGTTTTGAGGTGTTAATTAACATATTAAAGCACATGTAAAGTACTTAATTATAATTGTAAATGGTGTGTTATTCCATATGTGACCCTGGACCACAAAACCAGTCTTACGTGTCAATTTTTGAGAAGTTAAGATTTATACACCATCTGAAAGCTGAATAAATAAGCTTTCCATTGATGTATGGTTTGATGTATGGAATCTGAGGGTGCAAAAAAATCTAAATATTATAATTTTATTCATTTTATTTTATTTATATTGTTATATATATATACTCAATAAATATTGAGACAATCGCCTTTAAAGTTGTCCAAATGAAGTCCTTAGCAATGCATATTACTAATCAGAAATTAAGTTTTAATATATTTACGGTAGGAAATTAAAAAATATCTTCATGGAGCATGATCTTTACTTAATATTCTAATGATTTTTGGCATAAAAGAAAAATCAATAATTTTGACCCATACAATGTATTGTTAGCTATTGCTACAAATATACCCCAGCGACTTAAGACTGGTTTTGTGCTCCAGGGTCACATATTAAAAGTTCATTTATTTTCAAAGTACAAAATTGCGAAATGATTGACATACTGTTACGTATTCGGTCCATGAACTTCCGTCTGCTAGCCATCAGAGGTCACCCTTTCCATTTCATTGACTCTCGCACTACACACTGTTGCATATCACCCCGGACTACATATCCCATCATTCATTACACTGATTGCACACAGCACTGATTGCACACAGCTGTATCATATCACTCACTCACTATTTAACACTCAATCTGACTCCTATCAAACTGCCGAGTATTGTATGCACTTATTGCCTGCAGTGATAGCTACTTTACAGAGCCCTCGTTAGTTTCCCAGTCCTAGCCTAGTCTTGCCCTGTCTGTTTTCTTGGTTTCTGATCTTTGCCTGTTTTCCTGGATTTATCCCTCTAGTCTCGCCCTTTTGATTCTGTTCGCCGATCGTTGACCTACGCTAGCCCTAGGATTATTCTTGTGTCTTGCCCACCATATACTTGTTTGCCATTGTTCGACCCTGCCTGTGTTTCTGACCTCTTCTGCTTTAAATAAAAGCTTGCACATGGATCCGCACGTCTCACACCTTGTCAGCCCCGTAACAGAATACTCGGCCACACAAGGATCCAGCAGCTTCTCATGTGAACATTGGCCAGGTATGGACACTGCAAGGTTGTTGTTAGCCCTCGAGCAGGGCACACGCTCTCTCGAGGACTACATTCAGGAGTATCTGGACATTGCCTATCACTCTGATTTACCGGACTGTGTTTTGATAGATTTTTTCTGTAATGGCATTAATCAACCGCTAAA